CTATATGCACACCCAGTAGAACCAGTCTTGTTCTATTGTAAATGATAGGTAAGATGGTTTCTATTTATATTAATTTTGGGAGGAAGGGAAATACTTTAAAATTGGTGGAAATGAGTATCCTATGAACTGCGACACCCAGAAAAGTTCACTTGGTTTCAAAAGCAGGGCCACCAGCATGCATTTAATGCCTGGGAACCAATTCCTTGTGTGCGGAGGGTCAAACCATGCCCTTCTCAAATCTCAGCCTCACTTCAATTCTTTTCTTAGAACTTTTTCTACTCACAGAGACTGAGGACAAACCAACGTGATCACAGATGGACTCACGACCATCCTCCTCCAGTTCCACTGGGTTAATTCTCAAATTTCCCAGTCCTCATGGCTCCACTTCCAGAACTTTAGATATCTCCAGTGGTTTCCAGGTGATTCTTTGGCCTTCTCTGATGCTTCCTGACAAGCCTTTTTCTTCTGACAGGTTAAGAAGGCTTCACCCTCATACAGTCTACAGCTTTTGCTAACAGGTAGAGAGCTAAATTCCTTTGGCAGATAGAATAAGCAGCACATAATTGGTTAGGAATGACCAATCTTGGTGTTACTGTGTTTCAAGATTGCAATAAACATCTCAGACTCTGTGTGTATTCCTGAGGCTCTGGCTCGATGGCAATAACCAAAGCCTCCCTTCAGTGCTGGCTAAATTCCCACCAGGTTCATTCCTCATTGAGACGATGCTTATAGAGACTGACAGGAGGTTTCCCAGCACAATGAAGGTAAAATTTGGCTCCTATATGTCAAGGGTGCTATTTTACATAAATAGGCATACGTGTTTATGTATACGTTCCCTTTCCCACAGAGATGGGTGGGTGACACTGCAAATATCGCCCAGTGATAATAGTGCTGACATATAACCTCACAGGGACTGTTGGTAAGCACTGGAGTTATAGAAAGGTGCAGAGTTTCTTTGCAGTTATTTCATAAGCATTTACCCAGCTGATATACATACATGCGTGCATATGTGTTTTTTTACTGTGAAATACAGATAAAAATCAATACAAGAGGGCATTAAAGGATAAGTCACAAGACAGCTGCACCTGGTAATGCCAAAAAATAGTAGCAACCACAAACTAAGGATGCTCCAAGGGACGATAATTTGTGACCCTGTGCCAATACACACTGGGGCAGATGAAAACAACTCATTCCAAAGCCGCTATTGGGGATCTGACATGTTTATCTATTTGGCCCACATGTGGCGGTGTCTTCTAGCACTGACAGCCCCTGCAGGTTGGCAGCTTTTCAAAAGCTTGTCAGCCCTTGATAGCATTCCTATTCCTGCAGAGATGGGCGGGTCGCGCTGCGGATTACACAGTGATAATAGTGCTGACATGTAACCCCGCTTGCACTGCCCGCGAGCGAGCACAGGACTTAACAGAAAGGCGCACCATTTCTCTGCGGCTATTTCATAAGTGTTTAGCCAGCTGGCAACATTTCGTATTTAGCATTTATTTAGTTTAAGGAGTAAAACAACAAAGGTTTTAGGCAAACTCACAAAAAAATCCTACCTAACAAAGTAATCTTTCCAGCAGGATCCCAGAGCTTAGGATTCCTATAGAATTTCTCCAGATTTCCAGCCTCTCATGCTATTAAACATGTTTGTTTGTTTTACACTGCACTTCCACTGGTTATGGCATAGTTTTCTTCAGATTTCTTGTCCACGTTTTCAATGCCCTGGTAAATATAAATTGCTGCTCTTTTCTGCTTTCTTTTGCTGAACATCTTCATTTTACTCATAGGAAGGAACCACAAATGCTTCATTTTATAAATAGCCTGCAACACTTGTCAGGCATCTGAAGATCTTTCAAGAAAAGACTATGGCACTTGATAATGCAATTCCTGCAATAGGAGCTAGAGGCTTCTATTCAGGACAAGCTCACAGAAATTATATCCCTGTTACAGAAGGATGATTATCCTTTGCTAAGCTTTAGATATTTGTAGAGTGAAACCATTTTAGCTTTCTGCATTTGTCTCTCATTTGGAAGGACTTTTCTATTATACTATTGTACTTACTGTTGTTTTATAATAAGGTTTGCAAGCACTAGAAACTGGATGGATTTTTTCAAGCTGCCAGCTAAGGAAGTTTTCAACCAATTACACAATAAATTGAATAAAAACTACGAATTAAGAAATTCTAACTCCAGAAGAACTATTGATTTATTTCATCAGGAAAAGTATACCAGGAAATAAAGCCATAACTTAATATATGTAAGTTAAATTAACTAATTTAGGTGAATAATTAGTTTGGAAAAAGGAAGTTATTAAATGATATATATGTACATATTAAAGAAGGGAAAAAGATACAATGCTTTGGATGTTTCTTTGAATACCATTCCAGAAATATCTGAATATAGAGCATCAGACTCTACAATATAATCTTGCCAAGTAATTATATCCACAGATGAAGATTTTCTGAGAGCAAACTCTTAGGGATCCTGATTTGGCTTTTTGGTGTATCAGTAGTTCCTAATATAACAAATATCTGAAATTGAGAGGTTTTTTAAAGTAATCTGAATCTACCCACGACAGTGTTTTCTACAGCTCATGTTCAGTTTTGTTTTAAAGAAAGAAAAGACCAAACTATGCACAATTCTGCATTCTAGTTTCAAAACTCTTACACCTCACTCACCCCCCTCAACTTGCTGTCTTTTATCCCCCGTTCCTCAAAGTTAATAAAAACATCACTTATAGGCAGAAACTTAATATTCTAATCAATTACTTCTCATTTTAGTAGCAGCGTATAAGCAGTTATAACTTTTTTTTTTTTTTTCTTTTCCCAGACGACCCTTACTCCAGAGGAGTACAAAGGACACACTTCAGACCCTTGTCGTCCCAACATGTGTGGTTTCCTCGCACCGGGAAAGGCTGGAAGTGAGCCGCCTGGCCCGGCGCCAACCCAAACCACGGTCAGTCTAAACACAGCGCCAGCAAACGCTACTTTCTGACACTTCCCTGCTACTGGAGAGTATCCTTTAGTGTTGAGACCTCCTCAGTGACTGAGATTTATACACAACCACTCGCGCAACGTCCTTCATCTCATCTCTTCCCTCCCCAAACATGTGTCTACACTCTCAGTACAGAGGAACTGAAAAGAAATGCTTCTGTGATATTGTCTTGTGCTACCTGAGCATTTACCCAAGAGGGCAAGTTTATAAAGATGCTGAATGCTTACAGAGATATGGAAATCAGCACAGCAGGATGCTCCGCAGAGTTTTTCAGTCAATTTTAGCTATTTAACTATACTTTTCCTCAGTGTTTTTTCTGAAAAGTTAAAGGTGACCTGAATGGTTAAACTAAAAATTAGAAGTATTTGAACCTGCAGACAACCATTTCTTTAGTCCAGATATGCAAGCAGCTGTGAATTTTATTCCCTTCCTTCAGGTTACCACAGATACGTAGCCATACATTCTCTATTCAGCTTACCAAATGCAAATTTTCATTCCAATATAAAGTGAGTCTTTGCTCTACAGTCTCTCTATTAAATGGCACTGTGTGATCACACACTGATTCTCCTGGCTCAGTCTGTGTTCTTCTCTTCTTGGGAAGCACAACACCCATAATGATCAGTGGTGGTTTGGCTAAAGGGAAAATGTTACCAGCTTGGACGGAGGGGCGGATCACGCAGGGTGCTGCCACCTCCAGAAAGCTCGGAGCTAATCAAGCCCCGCTGAACATAACGGGAGGTGACAGCACTCGACATCTCTCAGGAGGTAAGCAGCATCCCACAGAAACAGAAATCTGCTTTTCACACAAACAATTATTTTTTTTTCTACAGAAAGCCTGTGCCAGAAATCAATCTGTAGTCTGAAAATCCACAATGTGAATAATGCTGTTATTAATGTAATATCCTGAGGAGGTGCTGGGTTTTGAATAAACTACTGAAATGGCAGACACAAGTGTTTGACAAAGCATCCCAGGGAAGAAATTTCCTGAAGCACTCAGAATCTGAGTTTTTTTAAAAAACTGGCATATTGAGCATCGCAGAAGTCAAAATAAGCAATAAGATAGTCGGCCTGGTACTATATCTCTTCTATACAAGGACAGCAAGTGTTGTACTCAAACACGTGGAGCAAAATAGTCTCCTGCTACACCTGCTAAACCCCTGCGCTCCAGTTGTATTAATTCAGGGTCAGTTACCTCTTCAGAGCTGACAGCAGAACACAGTAATTTAAAACCTCCTTCTGGTGCTTAAAGAAAATATCAAACACAGCTGAGAATTTAAATTTTCCTCAGCAAGTAGCATATCTGGAAGTAGCAGGAAAGCCATTTTCACTTGTGTTCCTGGGCAAGCATCTGGTTTTTACATGTAGCAGCCAATTGTGCTTACAAAAGCTACAATTCATCTTGTCTGCTAGAAATACTGAAAGCTAAATTGCCATCTTATTATCTGGAGTTAACTCGTTGTCCTAGGGCATGGGCAAGGGAGTACAGTAGCTCCCAGTGGAAGCTTCTCCTATCACTAGTAATTCTAGATATTAATACAAATGTTAATATTAAAATTACCACTAACATTTTTGCTATAATTTAAACCATTCAAACTGCCCTTGCTTTGTTTAACATCACAGTAATGTAATCCCTGTGATGCCAGGAAGCAAGGAAAGAGCTATCTTCAGTTATCTTCTTTCAAATGCTTTTTTGAGGACGCTGATCATGACCAGAGAAATTAAGAAGCAAACACTCTGAGCTGCATTTTTGCTGATATTTTCCTGTTACTTTCATGCACTGCAGAGCTCCTTCAGGTAGCTGACCTCTTGCAGGACATCAGTCTCACAGGAGGTCACATACCATGAGAAATCTGTATAATTTATGAGAGGTGAGATTATCAAATTCCGGTAAGCAGCATTGCACAATGAATCTGCAAGTTACACAGTGAAGAAGGGAGGGGAAAAAAAGAAAGAAAAAAAAAAGGAACAAAATTGAACTTATGAGATGAACTCTGTGGAAAACAAACTGACCTTTTTTACATTTTTGTTTAAATCAACCAAGTTGAGCAGGAAGATGTGGTCTTTAGCTCCGATTAGCAGCCGGCCCCTCTCCTCATCTAGCAGCAGGGTTCGAAAATCAAGCCCCTCCGTTGAGCCCAGAAATGGGATGCAGCTGTTTGAAAGCAGCAAGTCTGTGGGAAAACGAAGAAAATCTTTATAATCAAAATGTTTACATATGACTCATTGATGTCTTTTATAAATATATGCAACCAGCATGGAGTATGCCGGTGAGATACTACAGTCTTAAAGCATATCTTTCCAGGGTCATGATACAGTTCCTGTTAACCTTGGTTTTCTTACTTCCAAATTGGGTGATATTTGCTTTCACAAAACATTTTTTCTGTATGAAATTTTCTTAATAAATTATGTCTGTGACATAAAGGAATCACATTCTTCAATAGAAATTAGAAACAAAAAAAGATCTTTACAAAATACGTGCTATACCTTTCCTTTATTGTAAGAAAACTAATGTATATTTATGTCATTATAGTCATGGATACACACAATCAAAGATCACTATCTCACCATATTTGGTGGTCTACATACAATGCAGCAAAGAAAGTCAAGGCCAGAAAGAATAGTTAGGAACAGGGAACAGTGGTTATATGTGGCAGGTATTAGAGATTCAGAAAATTTGAGTTGGAAGGGACCTTCAAAGATCACCTAGTCCAAGCCCTTTGCCATGGGCAGGGACATCTTGCACTAGATCAGGTTGCTCAACCCCATCCAACCTGACCTCGAACACTTCCAGTGATGGGGCATCCACAGCTTCTCTGGGCAACCTGTTCCAGTGTCTCACCACTCTCATCATAAAGAACTTCTTCCTTTAGTCCAATCTAAACCTAGCCTTTTTCGGTTTAAAACCGTTGCCCCTTGTCCTGTCACTTCAGGCCCTGGTAAAAAGTCTTTCTCCATCTTCTTTATAAGCTCTTTTTATATTTTGAAAGGCCATAATAAATTTTCCCAGATGCCTTCTCTTCTCCAGGCTGAATAACTCCAGCTCTCTCAGCCTGTCCTCCTAAGAGAGGTGCTCCAGCCCTCTGACCGTTTTTGTGGCCCTTGTCTGGACCCACTCTAACAGGTTCATGTCTTTCTGGCACTGGGGACCCCAGAACTGGATGTAATACTGCAGGTGGGGTCTCATGAGAGTAGAGGGGCAGAATCACCTCCCTCTACCTACTGGCCACGCTTCTTGTGATGCAGCCCAGGGTACGGTTAGCTTTCTGGGTTGCAAGCACACATTACTGGCTCACATCGAATTTTTCATCCAGCAGTATCCCCAGGTCCTTCTCTGCAGGACAGCTCTCAATCTGTTTACCATCCCATCTGTGTTGTTATTAAGGGTTGTCCCAACCCAAGTGCAGGACCTTGCACTTGACCTTGTTGACCTTCATGTAATTTGTATGGGCCTACTCCTCCACCCTGACAAGGGTGCTTCAAAGATCATTTAGTCAAACTAGATGAGTGATGGCATACCTTCCCTCAAGCATATTAACTGCACCACTCAGTTTGGTATCATCCACAAACTTGGTGAGAGTGCGCTCAATCACACCATGTCATTCGTGAAGATATAAAATAGCATTGGTCTCAGAATGGACCCTTGAAGGATACCACTCATTACAGATTTCCACTTGGACATTAACCTATATATATGGTTGAGAAAAACTGGGAGGAGGTAACAACTGCAATGTATATAGAAAGTTTGATATAAGGTTCAGTTTGTCCATTGTCTAATATTAAGTTCTAGTGACAGCATAGAGAATTGCCACAATTAAATTTTCAATTACCATAATTTTAATTGAGAATTGAGATCTGAATCAACAACCATGGAGCAGAGGTATATCCCCCGGGCACAGTACTGAAATGAAGGCAATACAGAGGTATATTCAGGGGAGCATCCAGTAGCAACACCTCTGAGGTCCTGAAGTCTTTATTTTCCTTACAGAGGTGGTAACGGGTGGCTGTTCCTGCATCCTCACCCTGTCTGCAGAGGAAGTTTTCCCTATTAAAAGAACAAATTTGACACTTAAGTTTTACCGTGATTTAATAGTGGCTTCCAATCTCTTTCGGAAGGTAATTAAGAAAAACATGTTTCTCTATGAAACTAATGAAAGAATCTATGCTTCTCCTATAAAAAAAGCTAAAAGGGTGTAAAGTAAAAAGTCTGTGACCTTTTGCTTAATGAAGAGTATGTGGACGTAATTCTGGATGAGGATACAACCAACATATAGAAAAGAGCACAACGAGAGTTTAGTCTTGTTGGGCAGTCATTAATTTGGGGAGAACAAAAATAAACATATGAATCAGTTCTTCCACAAGCAAACTCTCCAAGCTAAACTATTCAGAAATCTTGGGACAGAAAGGTAAATCCTGTATTTAATTGAATAAAAAATTAAGAGTATTTCCACCTTCCTGGCACTGGATGGACAATGTATCCTTCCTGCTAGAGAGGCCAGACTTACAGCACAAGTTATTTACACTTCCTGATCATGACGAAAATCAGGGCCAGTGTTCTGCAGAGTAACTCCTGAACAAAATAAAGAGGAAAACAAAAACCAAACAAACCACCAAACTTTTTTCTCCAAGGTCTCTCACAAAACATGTGATAGGTAAGGCAAAGATTAAGTCCTGTTGCTGGCTAATAAACAGCACTGTGGGAGAATAAATATTTTATCATTATTAATCTGACTACCTGGTATATAATTATGACAATTATTTTTTGGCTCAGTCACTTCTACTTAAGCTCATGTGGTTTTTGTCTGGCTCACTGCTGAATGTTGTTACGGTACAGTCTGAAAACAAATTGTCTTGTATTACAGCTCCTATTCCCCTAGGTGAGATTTATTTGGCAGTATGTTGAAAAAAATCTTACTTCATGTTGAAAAATTAAATCCAACATTAAGCACTACACTGCCTTATGCCAGCGCTGTCCTATCTTTTGTGAAGACAAAGATGTCAGGGGTATTTTTTCTAAATTAGTAACACTTTAAAAGACCTGCTTATTAATTGACAGCAAGATCACTTACAAACAACTTATGGTTATCATGGTAATATAAAAACTTAAGTCCTATCCAACTTCTTCGTACACTAGAGCTGGCTGATGAATAGCCTGGCTGAAGAATAGCTAAACCAGTGTTACAAGTAAATAAAAATTTTGAAAAGGAAAAAGAAAAGCCCTCTAAACCCACAACTTCTGAAGCTTAGCTCACTCCACTAGTGTGTTTTTACCCAATAAGAAATAAAGATGTTTTCCTCCTGAAACATCTTTTTTTTTTGTTGTTGTTATTGGGTTCTCTGTTACAGGACAGCCACTTCTAGTCAAGCAGCTAATTTCTGTATGACGTAAACGTGTCTTCATTAGATGTCATACTCTGTACAAACCTCCTCCTTTGTTTTTTCTGACTGGAAATTCTTGGTACTGGATATGATGGAGCTGTTTATTGGGAAAGGATTCTCTGATGCTGATGATAGCACGGCAGGAGGTTTTAGCTCCTTTGGGCTACTCAAATTCTTCTCAGTTGATCTCTAAAATACTGTTTATCAGCTGAGTATTGCTACAGCACATCATTTCTGAGTAATCGTCTTTCTCTTCTCCACCCATGACATAAGAGCTGGCTGAATTACTAGATTATCTGATACATGGTTTATAATAATAACCACCTTATTAATTCTGCAGTCTCAGTTAAATCCCTATGTAACAATTCTATGTCCCAGATAGGATGGAGGGAAGGAGAGAAACACAGGATCACAATACCTAGTAATTAGTCATTCACAGGCATTAACATAAATAAACAGGAGAGATTCATGAATTTCACAGGCTACTGTATTTCAGAAATCCATATCACACTGCTGCTTTTAAAGCTCCTCTGATGACAACCTTCCAGTCATATCACAGCGCTCGCCCGCAGGACGTGGGTAACTAAGATGCAGAATATGAGAGAAAATTCCTTCTCATCCCCAACCATAGGAATTTGATCTCAGTAAGGATAAATGATACGTTTGTGCAAATGCTCTAAAGCACTTTCGTTGCTTAGAGTCATGCAATCCATGGGCCTTTGCAAGTGTATCACTTGCCAAAATATGTAGACCTGATTCTCCACATACCTCAAAGGAGATGACTGAGACTACTCTCCACTTCCCCTTTCTTTCATATTTGGAAGGAATGATCGCTGTAGCGACCATCCCAAAAGGACATTTGTCATCTATTGCTTAACACTTCTAGTATTTCTTGGTAAAGAACCACTTAGAACTGCTACAGCAGGGAGGGAAAAAGCTGTCTCATGACTGAAACACCCAAGTGGGAACAAGCCCTGTCTGGTGCCTTGTGCAGCCATTTGCTTCACTGCATCATAAGGAAAGCATTTGTAAAATGTTCCAGATGATTGAAACGACAGCGCTGTACACTGATTTCTTACTGACGCAAATGATAACACAGGCTGCAAAGTGGTGAAGAATCAGGTCTGCTCAGTTATTTACTAACTATTGAAAAGAGTTTGGAAATAAGACTCTGAACATGGCCACTGATAAGATTAAAACTGAAACATGACCTAATAAAATTTGTCAAGTAAACATTAACAGAGAATTTATTAAGTTACACCCAAATTAATCATTGTTCTCACTCCATTAAAGCAAAATAATCCAATCTTATGGGTTGAAATTGCCCTTCACAGTGAGATATATTTAATATCACCAAGGATATTACACTGGAAAAATTTACTATTAAAAGCACTTTTGCCCAATGGTTTTCAAGCTTAGAGCAAGCTGTTGATTTGAATCACTGCATCTCTGTAGCCAGGCTAATATAGAAACAACATTCTCACAATGCACAGAAACAAAGTTAGTTACAGGGGTGGTCTTTTATGAGCACATGTTCAGCACTCAGTTTGAAATGTGTATTTGCTGTTTTACTGAAAACGAAATACTTTTTTCCAGTCTGGCGATTAAATGAATATTTAGCAAAGTCCCTTTCTGGGTTAATATTTCACTGCTGAGTGTTAGAAGCTGGAATAGTGACTGGTTTTTATTCACTTAGAAAAGTATCTCAGTGGACTTGGCTCTCAACAGCATGACCATTGCTTACTTAAATACCCTCCAGCAGCAGACCCATGGCATAAAGGCTTTGAATGAAAAA